AGTGGAAAGAGGAGGGGCAACGACGTCCGTTATTCCAGCGACTCATTTATTGACATTCAGTTATTCCAAGTTAGCCCATTAAGGTCACGATCTACAACAGCTAGCTCACCTCCAGAGGCGATTTCCGACGCGTGCAGGAGCTCCCTCACTTTGCCTTCGAGCTCCACGAAGCATCCGTACGAGGTAAGGTTCTTCACCACGCCCTTCACCTTCCACCCCTTTACTCACAACCCTCAACCATGTTCCAGACACTAAACCTTAGAGTGAGCTTACCTCCAGCGGTGATCTCGGAGGCGTGGAGGAGCCCCTCCACCTTCCCTTCGAGCTCCACGAAGCATCCGTACGACGTCAGGTTCTTCACCACGCCCTTCACAATCTGCCCCTTCTTGTAGTTATGCGTCGGCTTCTGATCCTCCCGCTGCTGCCTGCGCCCCCTGCCCGCGACCTTGCGCTCGGGCGCGTCCCCCTCCGCGCCCCCCTGGCGGGGCTCCGACCGCCGCTGCTGCGCCGACGCCTTCCGCTCCGCATCCACCGCCGCCGTCTCCTCCGCCGACACGCGCTCAGCCTCCGGGTCGCGCATGGTGAGCGCGATGCGGCCGGACTCCTTGCTGGCCTCGATCACTCGCACTGTAACCTCCTGTCCAACGGTTACCACATCCTCCACCTTGTTCACGAAACCCGTCTGCGGCGAAAGAGGGGGTAAAGGGTGTTCGAAGATATTTAGTGTCAGTTACCATATCTTCCACCTTGTTCCCGAAACCCGTCTGCGGCGAAAGAAGCGTGCGAAAGAGGGGGGATTGAGGGAGTTTTGGAGCCAAAGGCAGGACAGAGGCAAGTGAAAGCAGATTCTGCCGTTCCGTTGCGATTAACGCAACGACCGAGGACATGTCTCGAAGCAAGTTCTTACATCCATCGGTTACGGTTTCTACGCGCTTCGCACACCCAACCTACTGATGAGCTAGACATGCGCGTGGGCTCAATAATCCCAACTGAAAATGTGCCAAAGGACATTCGTGGAGGCATAAACGACTGAGACGCACATTGGCTTTTACGTAATCTCGTAATCATGGCCATTTGTGGAAAGCAAGTCCCGTAATATCGTACCGCGAGCTGGGAGATGTGGACGAGGCCGTCGGTAAAGGCGCCAATGTCGACGAAGGCTCCGTATGGCTTCACGGAGCGCTGCACGCAGCACGGAGAAGAGAACAAGTGAGGGAAGGAAGCACCTGGTGAGATGCGCTTGGATAAACCCTAGAGCCGTACGAGCCTGAATTCTGAGTGAAATCACGAAAGGCTTCCGACACGCGGAAACCATCTTTTAATCGGACCCACACGCGGGAAACGAAGCAATACGAATTTGATAAAGCCTTTTCTAAAGGCGGGTTTTTACAAAGGTTAAGAAAAAAGGGTTGAAGCGGACTCAGGGAACTGAAAAACAAGGAGCCGATACATGGCGAGACACTCACAACTTTGCCGGTGAGCTCCTGGCCGGGCTGAAGGTCCTCGACGTTGACTGTAACCTTTCTCCTCCTGGTAGCCCCAGGCCGGGCCTTCCTCTCCTCCGTCTTCTCCTCAGCAGCAGCAGCAGGAGCAGGCGTTTGCTCGGCGGCGGCATCGGTGCTCTCGGGAACAGCCTCCACTGCCTCCTCCACTGCCGTCTCTCCCTCCACGCTCACGGCCCTCACACAGGGAAACGCCCTGCTGGAGACGGGAAGATGAAGGCTCTTCTGGAAGCTGGCTCTGCGGAAAGCGGGAAAGGGCGGTGGAGAAGAAAAAGGGAGGGGGAGATCAAAGCACCGTTTGAAGATCAAACACATGAAGGTTATAAGCTCTTCTGAAAACAAGACATGCGGGATGGTAGGAAGAATTGAGGAGATAAATCTAGAATGGAGGAATCAAGGAAGTGCGGTGAATGTTGAATAAACTGCACTGAATTCACGAATTGTGGAATTAGGGCCTTCAACGTGTAGTTCGAACGGGGCACGAAATTAAGAAAAAAACGCCGCCAAATGACGACATAGACACATCCAGGTGCGCATGCCGCGCTATTTACAACGGGCGCAGAATCACGTCATCGACATACCTAAGGCGGTTTTGGTGAAGGCGGAGCTGACCCTGCGGAAATCCAGCCGCTGGAAGTGCAGCGCGAGCCTGGAGAAGGGGTTTTCGTTCATAAGAAGTCTGAGTACAACAAAATAACAGCTACTTGGGCGTAAAACCAACTGTGGGACACTGTACGTCAAGGAATTGAGAAGAACCCTAGGAGCTTAACATAAGTGATCGTAACAAATCGATTTTTTTTTTTTTTTTTTTCAGCAAGAACTGGTAATAAGACACTGGCACGAGGAACAGCAAGACCCCTTACATTGCAAGTGGTCTTAGGCAGTGCCGGGAGGACAGTGCTCGAAAGCACTGACGTCGTCAATTTCGTGACTGACGCCATTTTGGTGATTCTATACGAGCTCAGGCAGAAACTAGACCGTCGACAAATGGCTAATCGAGCAACGAGAAGCTGCTGAGGAAATGCGGGGAGCAAGCTTTCGGTAATCGAAGCTCAGAAGCCGTCAACGGCCTAAAGATAGGAATGGGAAAAAGAGGAGCGAAAATGGAAGGGTATGGCAGTTTGTAGGTTCCAGAAGCAGCAACCTGCCGCAGCAACTCGGGCCCGGAGGGGGACGGAGAAACGCTAACAGACACTGCTGGACTTCGAAGTTCCACAGCCTGAACAATGGGTTTCCTGGAACACAAGACGATCCCAAGGAGTAGGGGATGTGGCTCTGATGTGTCGTCAGAGAAGTCAAACACGTGGCGGTACTGAAGGGCTGACCCAGGCTGGATTTGCTGACGTGGTGTTGTGGATGGGGCTGGGGGGAGTCTGTTTGACGAGAAGTAGCTGAGGTGAGTAGCGTGGTCTGCTGCGCAGCCAGAAGAGGTTTGCACACTCTGGGAAACTGACCTCTATCGTCCCGCCAAGTGGAATTGCTGTTGAGCCAGGGTTTCGAAACTCAAGATTGCGGGAGAGACTTGACTTTGTGCCCGTGTGTATATTTTTTTACGAGCCCAACAGTGTAGACAGAACTACATGAATTTCGCCTCTTTACAGTAACGAATTTGCGCAAGCTGCAACTTTGAATTGACGCGGCAAGCTCTGTGTTTCCCGCCGAGCCTCGCTGACAACATGCCAGGTCGCGCGTCTCGGCACAATCAAGCCCAGCTTTCCTTCAGGCTCCCCACCCAGGCCATCTTCCCCCCAGCCCAGAACCAAACCAACCTCCATAGAGTCTCAAGCTCCACCATTCCCCTACACATCTCAGCTTGCAGCGCTTTACAGCACGGTCCTGTTCGGTACATTTTGTTAAGGTGTGGTGAACAAACCTTTTCCCCCTCCAGATTCGAAGGACACTGGAATCTGGTGCATTATTCTTCTCTGGCCTTGATCGTTGGACGGATTTCCCAAGGTTTCCTCTAGGTGCCTACGCGCTGCCCTTCGACAACTGGCTGATTCTTCTACCGGACGATCATTCTCCACGGCCTTGGAGCTTCCTCCGTCTACTACGCCCAAGATTTTAGTTTGTTTGGTTTGTCAGTAGGCATCACGTTCAGAGATTGCCGAGACTCTTCTCCTTCCAACGTTTATTTATAGAAGAATTAGAGAGCAGTTGCAAAAATGGATGGCCGATCTCCTGTACAGCGTGAGGGTGCCCCGATTATGTTCAAGTCCCCCAGTCTCTATCCCAAATCACCTGCATTCATTCCGTTTGGCGCCAACGATGACGAGCTGGAGAAGCGGAAGATTAGGGAGGAGCGTCAGGCAGCTCAGCGTAGGCTGTTCGCAGACCGAATGAAAGAAGCGAATAAGAAGCGCTCTAGCTGCGACCCTCAAGAGATGTCTGGAGATCGGCTGCTTACGTTGTACCAGAACTGCACTAAGCTGGCTGCTGAGAATGTAAGGTTTCCGAAAATGAGGTCACGCTGGCCACGGTTGCTTAATTTGGAGGACGAGTAGTGGGTAAATTGTCTGAACGAAGCTGACATCCCACCGACTTCGATCTGTGCAGAAAATCAATCAGAAGAACACATGGGATCTTGATCTCATTGACCACATGTCGGAAATTGTCAAGGCGGACTGCGAAAACGACACGCAGACTAACTTCCAGAAGGTTCGATTACGCTTTAATTTGCCAAATGGTCTTTGTTTCATCCTTTTACTAGCACCATCCGTCGTACCAATTCGACTTCCTTCCTACGGCATGCTAGTTGCATCCTGAAGCTGATGTGAAGGTTTATTCTCTTGAGCGCCTCAACAGATCCCTTGGTAGTATACTAATCAAGCTCCTGCTCTTATCCTTCGGACAGGCTAGCTGCACGCTGGAGGCTGGCGTGAAGATATATTCGTATCGAGTCGACTCCATCCATTCCGAGACGTACAAAGTGCTCAGCGGCCTGACGCGGGCAGGCGATACACGTAAGTGTACAGACCATTCAAATGTTCAAACAAGAAAAGATGCAGCCGTCGTTTTTCGTTCCATCTCGGTAGGTTGGTGCTGCTGTCACTGACTCCTTGGTCCTGCGTTTTTGCAGGAGAAGATGAAGAAGGGGCTGACCAGGAAGAAGGCAACGGCAGCCGGCGAGAGTCTCAGAAGAAGGTACCGGGACATCCGTTTTATGTTTGAAATTACTTGTGTGCGAAAGTCGAGGTGGCCTTACTTCCGCATGGCTTCGTTTGTGTTTCATTGTGCATGCAGCTGCCTGCAACATCCAGCACACTGGAGGATAACCTTGACCAAATCAACGTCAAGAAGCTTGAACGTGAGCCAAAGAAACGTAATTCTTCCTTAACTACGTCATATATCATTCTACACTGACCGTGATTTGTACCTGGATCTTCAGGTGCCATTGTCACGGACCCCCTTTTCACGAAAACTTCTGGTCAATTCGATGAGGGCGGTGCAAGCGGCTTGCTCCTGTACAATCTCCCCGTGTTCAACGGGTGCGAGATCATGTTCGATTCGGAGGCCATCATCGTCGACCCTTCACGCACGCAGCCGGAGGAGCAGGGGAAGGATTACGTGGATATATCCTTTGCATCTCGTAAGTACAAAACTTTCTGTGACCCATGTGCTTCCTACCGTAAATGCTTCTCTTTCATCAGCCTTGTTTTTCGAAACATATTGCAACGACCACCTGGTGCTGCTTGGAGTTCGTGTTTCACCATTGGTTTCAATTCATAATCATCGAACTGTGAAGTGAAAAGCCGTTGACGAGGGACACATTTGCGTTGACATGCTCGCCTAACACTCCGTTCCACACATGAATAATCAATCAAGCATTCATCCGACATATTTGTGCTGCACTGGGCGCAGAACACCATGGGTAGACAATCCATTATTCATTGACACATTTCTGCTGCTTCCTGGCAGGCGAAGTGGAGCTCCTTCTGAGCGCGGATGACCCTGACAGCTGGGAGATCACTCCGTCCATCTCTGCTCTCTACGAGCTGGCTGAAGATCACCGCTGGAAGGCAGCTGTTGGTGCCAGTGCCAGGGATTCCTCTCATGACATGGATGGGAATGCTGTTAGAAGCGGAGACGGATTTAAGGCGTTTGATGTGGGAGATGAGCCAGTGGGTGGGGTGGGGGGAGGTTTTCCGTTCGGAGATGATAACGACGATGGGTCTGTGGTGGATTTTGGTGGTGGAGATGATGGGTGGAATGATGATGGGTGTGGGTTCGCTGGCCCGCCGTTTGCTGGTGGTGGTGCTCCTGGGATGATCCCAGCTGGGGATTCTGATGGGGAGAACGGATATTCGGATGTTGATGATGGAATGGACGCTGCGGATTGGCTGGCAGCTGGCATGGGCATGACGAGGCTCAAGGGGAGCAACGCGTGGGCTGGCCCTAAGCACTGGCACTTTGTTAAGTCCAAGGAGGAGGTACCTGCAGCAGCTCCAGAGGCGAAGGGGAGGAAGAAAAGGGCAGCAAAGTCGGAGCTTATTGACTTCTCGGACCCTCAAATCGACGAGTCCTTGTTTCAGGCCCCTAAAGCGCTGAAGGAAATTCAGCTGACGAAGGCTGGTCGCAAGGTGGTCAATACCTTGCTTCCGAAGGACTACCATTATGATGGACGCAAGTTGGCTACGGTTTTTATAAGCTCGGATTGGAGCTTCTTGGCTCGGAAGGCCGGGGGGCGTGGTGGGGCGAAGCATGGGTTTGCGGATGGAGGAGGCAGAGATGGGTTTGCAGCGGTTGACGGTGGTGAAGATGGGTTTGAGAATGACTGGGGAGGGGACGAGTGTGCTGATCCGTTTGACTATGGGGACGATTTTGATGGGCAAGGGGATTCTGCAGAGGTCAAACCAGCAGATGATTTCATGGAGGATCTGGTTCCAATGCCAAAGAAGGTGAGACTCCCTTCAGCACTGTCCTGCTCCTTTCTGCTGCCCATGGTGGCGTTCCTGTATCTTTGTTTCTGAGCTCTTTCTGTAGCTAGTGCTGACAGGCATGCTGAGGTTGTGGTATGTGACTGGGTCTTGCCTGCCCTTTCTCCACTTCCTCCATTCACTCCTTCCATTCGTTGTTATCCTTGTGCTTGCATCTCCACCTTCTCATCTCGGTCGCTGTTTGCGCTGATGACTTGGCAGGCACAAAAGATCGATGTCAACTATGCGAGGCAGTCAAAGCAGGTAGATGTGAAGATTCTGAAAGACACGATTTGGGTGGAGCTGCAACGTCGCCATGCCCATGAGAGGGAGGAGCAGCAAAATGAAGAAGAATTCTCCTCCGCCCCCATCAGCTTTGATCGAGTGCTGCATAATTTCCCGGCCAATTGCAGGGCGGCAGCACTGAGTGACATTTCAGTGCATCTGTGCTTTATCTGCGTGCTGCATTTGGCAAATGAGCATGATTTGCGCCTGCATGCGTCAGAGGATATGAACGAGCTCGACGTTCATCTTCCATGTGAGGTGTAGAGTGGGGGCGAACGCTTATTGCCCGTTGTGTTTTGTTACGTACTGCATCATCTGTGTGTGCAGATCAATACATTTGTTACATAGTTGTGATCGCCTTGTCTATCCTACTTCTACCCGATTAGTGTATGTTTGAACGTTGTCCCAATATTGCTTAGTGTAGTTTGCACAACGAGATTATATTTGCATCTGCCTTGGCAGCGCTATTTTCCAGGTGTACTTCTGGAACCCTCGTTAATCTGATGCGAGCTGTCCTACATCGCGGATTTGGAACCTTCTGCTTCAAGCAAATTCTCTGCGCTGCCTGATTTGCTCCTTTGAAGGCGCCCTGTGCTGTTACAGATTTCTAGTCTTATGATCCTCGTTACGATTCTCCGCGATAAGATCATCCTTGAGTCCCGAGGCGCAGCTGTACGTTTGGTCGTTTCGGAAATATTAATCCGTTGATCACCAGGACACGAAGGTCAGCTGGAAAGAAAGTGGATCAGAAACGAAGGATAGCCATCTACTAAGTGGATCTAGGAGAAGCCGGTTAGTCAGTCGGTTATCTGGTCGATTAGTCGTTCTGCAAGTTAGCCGGCAAGCTAGTCGGCGTACGATGGCCGATCCGCAGGGCGGCAGCACGTCTGGCCGTCTGAAGCTGTTCACGCGACGCCCGAAGAAGGCACGAGAAACGGCAGGAGGTGAGGAGGGTCTAACGCGGTGAGGAGGGGTCTAACTAGATGAGGGGCGGTCTAGGGAGGTGAGAAATGATTTAAGGAGGTGGGGAGGTAAGGAGGGGTCTAACGAGGCGAAGGGGGATTTAAGCCGGTGAGGGCGTGGGGGCTGCAGCTGCAGCCAGTGCTCCCCCAGAGCTCCCCACCCGCTCCTCTTCTCCACCCACGGGTCTTTTCTCCCTTCTCTTCACCTCTCCCCACGGGTCTTTTCTCCCTCCGCTTCACCTCTCCCCACGGATCCTCCTTCACAGTCTTTTTTTCTTCTTTTTTTTTGTCATTCATTCAAAACTAATCGCCTTACATTCCTACTCCGACCCCCTTCCCCTCCTCCCCTCCTTCCCTGTCCCTCTTCCCCCCTCCCCCCACTTCCCCCCTTCCCCCCTCCCTTCCTCTCTTTCTCCGCCACAGCTGCAGCCAGAGCTCCCCCGGACCTCCCCGCGCGCTCCTCCCCCTGGGGCATCTTCTCCCTCTTCTCCTCCCCCGCATCTCCGCCAACGCCCCTATCCGGGCAAGGGCCCAGGTCCGCGGGAGCTCCCCCCGGGTCAGCAGCTGGGGGAGCTCCCCGCCCCCCCCTGCTGTACCGCATGCGAGGAGCGTTCAGTTTCCTGCTCGCCCTCAACCTCGTGCTGGGAGGTACGTAGCAAATCCCCTTCTCTCGTTCCCCTTCCCGCTTCCCCTTCCCCCTTTCCAGCTTCCCCCTTCCCCGCCTTACTCACCTCCCCCCCCCCGCCCTGCCTTGCTGTATCGCATGCGAGGGGCATTTGGTTTGCCTGCTCGCGCTCAACCTCGTGCTGGGAGGTACGTTCTGGGCCTTCCTTTCCCCCTCCTTCCCCGTTCCCTTCCCCCCGTCCGTCCCCCCCTGCTGTACTGCCATGCGCGGGGCGTTTGGGTTCCTGCTCGCCCTCAACCTCGTGCTGGGAGGTACGTGCTGGGTTGGGTACCCCCTTCCCTCTTCCCTTCCCCCCTTTCCACCCCTTGCTCCACTCTTCCTCGCCTCCTTCGCCCTTGCTGTACCGCATGCGAGGAGCGTTCAGTTTCCTGCTCGCGCGCAACCTCGTGCTGGGAGGTACGTGCTGCGTTGGGTACCCCCTTCCCCCTTTCTCCCCCTTATCCGCCTCCCGCTCGGCCTTTCTTGCTGTACCGCATTCGGGGAGTGTCCAGTTTCCTTCTCGCGCGCAACCTCGTGCTGGGAGGTACGTACCCATTTCTCCTTCCCCAGTCCCCCCTTAACCCCCTCCTCCTCGCCCCCCCCCCTGCTGTACCGCATGCGGGGAGCGTTCAGTTTCCTTCTCGCCCTCAACCTCGTGCTGGGAGGTTGAGGGCGCATCCCCCCAGTGCCGCATGCAAGGGGGAGGCACGTCCTTAAGTCTCCTTCCCTTTCTCTCCCTCCCTCCTTTTCCCTCTTCCTGCCCTTTCCCCAAGCCTTGCTGGAAGATGCAAGATTCCTTCCCTCTTTATCTCCCCTCTTTCTCTCCCACTATCCCTGCCCTTCCCCACTACCTACCCACTAGACTACATGCTGTTCTGAGGAAAGGCCCTGCTGCCAAATTCTCTTTCCTACCCTCTCATCCCCTCTCCCTCGCTCCCCCTTCCTTGCCCTTCCCCCACCAGGCTACATGCTGTTTAGAGGAAAAGCTCTTCTGAAAGATGCAGCACGAATGCCCGACACGCCCGAACTAGACGACGAGAAAAAACGCAAAAAGGAGGAGAAAACAGGAGGAGAGACTGCTACAGCTGCTGCTGCTACTGGTGCTGTTGCTGCTACAGCCGCTACAGATCCTTTCACCACCACCAGCAGTGCTCCTGGTACTGGTTCTGAGGAAGGTTCCCATGCAGCTTCCTCCTCGGCCCCCAAACGGACGTCTGAGATGCAATCGTGGGACATGGAAGCGATGGTTGGGCCGGCAGGTGTGACTGTAACGGGGGATGGTGCTGATGGTGGTGCAGGAGAACGGTCTGGAGTGCCTGGGTTGGCTTTTACGGGCGGGCAGGTGTCGAAAATTGATCTTGACGGGCAGCTGGAAGTTTTGAAGTGGATATTGGATGCGAAGAGAAAGGAGCAAGTGGGAGCGAGTAGGGAGGAGAGGAGGAGGATAGACGAGCAGAAGAGGTTATTGAAGGATTATATCACGGCAAAGAAGCACTTGCCCTTAGATTTGTGAAGGGATTGATTGTTTTTAGGAGCTGTACCTAGGTACCCCATTTGCTAGGCACCCAGTTCTGAGGGTGTAAAAGAATAGGAAAATTAGCATCGTTTGGGTGTACTTGACAAGCAGAAAAGGCTGTTGAAGGTTAGTAGTATCAAGCTCTGAAGCACGCACTCAATTCTCTGTCGGTGGATACGACAGGATATTAGGGAGGGAGCATATTGTCTGGTGCGGTAAATTTGTTTTACATAAATCAAAGAAGCGTTTGGGGTGACACCAGATAAGAAGATGTTGAGCAGCTTGAGGAATGGCATGGCGTGGCAGATAACCTCGGGGTGGGAAGCATGCGAATCGGGATAGACATGAGCGGCATGCGTGGAGGAAAAAAAGGTACGGTATTGAACTCTTTCCAGAGTGCTCAATCCATGTTAAGCTTGGAGATAGAACAGTGAGGTTGAAATGTCTGACATGGGACACCATATTACCATATTACCCCAACAATGACTGGATTTGCGTAACACCCTTTCAGTGCTCAAGTATCTCATTACCCTGTGGTTGAGAAAGGCACATACCATGCTTCAGTGATGTACTGTACAACACCGACTACTACACCATGACTATACAACATATACACAAAGGTAACTCCATTTATACATCTCAAACTATTTCTTCCCTTTCTTCGCTTTGTTCCCTTTCCTCTTTTTCTTCTGCTGATGTTTAGACAATTTCTCTTCTGGAGCAGATTTCGTTTCCTCCTCACAGCCCTCCTCTCCCTGCTCACTCCATCCCTCCCCACTCTCCTCTTCAACTTCTCCTTGCTCCAACTCCCCTTCTTTTTTCCTCTTCTCCTGGCGTTGCTGCTGCTCCTCCTCCGGCCATTCCCTTTTTCCCTCACAAGCATTCAAATCCCAACTCCCTCCACTTCCAGTATCCCCACTGGCATTTCCAACACCAACAGTCTCTGAACCGAAATAAGCAGCAGCAGAGGGGGCTGCTGCATCAACCCATGCCCAAGCAGGATTTTTCACAGGAGGAGCAGAAGCAACTGGAGCAGCAGAAGCAGAAGGAATCTCCACAGCAGGAGCAGACGAATCTGGTGCCTGTGCCGGTGCCGGTGCCTGTGCCGGTGCTGGTGCTGGTGCTGTTGTCATTGCTGCCCCATGCTCTTCTGCTTGTGCTGGCGCTGGTGGTGATATAGCTGCTGTTGCTACTGCTGCTAATGTGGGCACCTCTATTGCTTGTGCTTCTTCTGCTGCATCACCACCACCCCTTGCTGCGTCACCACCTGCCATTCCTGTGTCACCACCAGCAGCCTTTCCTTCCCAAGAACCGAAGCAGCTGTCAACACCACGTCCCTCCATTTCCCAAGCAGAGCCACAGCTGCCGAAAACCCTTCCAGCCGGATTACTCCTTCCGGAATCATGATTATCCTCTCTGCACTCCCTGCGGTAACTGCCCCAGCCCATACCAGGAGCATTGCCGCTATCCCAGCCAGCAACAATGTTTCCACTCCAACCATTGTTGCCTACATTAACCGAGGGAGCTGCAGCAGGAGAAGAAGCTTGAGCAGCAACTGGAGTGGAAGCTGAGGCGCCAGTCAAAGCAGCAGGTGACGCTGTAGCTGTATCAGCCGGAGCAGCATTTGGAGCTACAGCAGGGGAGGCCGCTGAAGCAGCAGTCAAAGTAGCAGCAGGAGAGTAATGTTTTTCAGCTGGAGCAGCAGCTGGAGCTGCACTCAAAGCGGCAGTCAAAGTAGCAGCAGCAGGTGCTGTAGCTTTCTCAGTCGGAGCAGCATTCTGAGCTACAGCTGGGGAGGCAGCTTGAGAAACACCATGTGCGGACGCTGAGGCGGCAGTCAAAGCAGCAGGTGGAGCAGTAGCTGTAGCAGCCGGAGCAGCACTACGAGCTGCATCAGGAGAGGCAGCTTGAGCAGCAGCTGGAGCTGTAGCTGGAGCAGTCGGAGCAGCATTTGGAGCTACAGGTAGAGTGACAGCATGAGCAGCAGCATGAGTGGAGTCGTGAATGGTAAAAGATACAGGAGGAGGTACAGCCGGAGCAGTAGTAGGAGAAGCAGCTGGAGCAGCAACTAGAGCAGCAGTCGAACCATCCAGGGACCCACCACTCCCACCACCCATCTTCTCCCTCTCCATCATCCATTCCTCTCTGCCCCACACCTTCCTGGTGGCTGTTTCAGATGGCTCTATCTCCTCAATTGAAGCAGCCGGAGCTGCATCAAGAGCAGCAACTGGAGAAGCAACTGGAGCGGCATTGCAACCACTCAGGAACTCTCCAATCCCACCCACCTGCTCCACATCCATCATCCATTTTTCCTTGTCCCACGCCTTCCTGGTGACTGTTTCCCATGGATCAGTAGTTGGAGAGGCACCTGCAGCAGCAGCCGGGGGTACAGCCAGAGGTACATCCGGAGCAGTAGTAAGGGAGGCAACTGGAGCAGCAGCCAGAGACGCAACTAGAGCAGCAGTACATTCATCCAGGGACCCTCCACTCCCACCACCCATCTTCTCCATCATCCCACCAGTCGGATTCCATACTATCCTGTCCTCCTCCAAATGGAGCAAGTTTGCTAAGGTGACTGAATTACTGTCTCTCATCTGCACATCCCCATTGCTGTCCCCCATACCATCAACATTCCCATAATCACCCTTCTTATCGCCCTCTTTCCGTCCACCACCAGCACTTTCCTGCCCGTTTCCTTTCTCTCCTTCCATCCCCTCAACCCTCTTCCCATTCGCATCCTTTCGGCCAGTAGCAGCGGCAGGGGCAGAGGCAGAGGCCGGAGCAGGGGCAGGGGTAGAGGCAGGGGCAGGGGCAGGGGCAGCGGCAGCGGCACGGGCAGAGGCATAGGCAGGGCCAGAGGAAGCAGCAGCAGCAGGGGCATGCGAAGGAGCAGAGGCTGAGGCAGGGGCTGAGGCAGGCTGTGTCTGGATCATATCTGGCTTCTGCTTTTTCATCTGCTGCTGTGCCTGCTCCTGTTGCCACAGCAGTTGCTTCTGAGACTGCAGCTCCTCTCGTTGCTGTTGCTGCTGCATCCTTCGTGCTTCTTCTGATGATGGTCCTTTCTCTGCACGCAGCTCTCCACGCTGCTGTGACTTCTGAGAGACCTGCTGCAGTAGCTTCTCAGAAATCTCCTGTTGCTGCTTCCAAGTCAACTCCTCTTGCTGCTGCGGCCTTTGTGCTACCTCGGATGATGATCCTTTCTCTACAAGCAGCTCTCCACGCTGCCGTGTCTGCTGTGAGACCTGCTGCAGTGGATTCTCACGCACCTCCTGTTGCTGCTGCACCTGTTTCGGAGGCAGCTTGTGCTGCTGCTGAGGTTGCGGCCCCTGCTGTGCATGCTCCTGCTTCCCAGCCTGCTTTGCTGGCTGCTGTGGGCTGGACTCACTTGCTCTCTGTTGCCGCAACAACAGCTTATTCTCTACCTTCCAGGCCGGCCCTGCTGATGCTCCTCCTCCTTCCTCTACCACCTGCTGTTTTGACTTCTTCCCACTTGTCCCTTTCACTCCCTGCTTTGACGGCTGCTGTGTTGACTCAGATAGCTGTTGCTTTTGCGGTAGTTGCTGCGGCAGCACCTTGGGTGACGGTGGCTGTTGTTGTGGTGGCCGTTCCAGCCGCAGCTGTGGCAGCTTGGCAGAATGGATAGCGGCCAGCCAGTCGCCGAGCATCCTCTGGTCGAATAGGACAAAATGCACCTGTAGGAGGGGCATAGCGTGGGAGTGCGGAGAATATCTTCAGGTTACTGCCGCAGTGGCTGTGGCAGGTTGGCAGCATGGATGGCAGTCAACCAGTCGTTGAGCATCTTACTCTCAAACAACACAAAGTGCACCTGTAGGAGGGTAGGTATGCCAGGGACACAAGGGTGCAGGGGTTAAACTCGGAGCACGAGGGACAGGGCAACCAGCAGCAGTAGCTGCAGCTGTGGCAGGTTGGCAGCATGGATGGCAGTCAACCAGTCGTTGAGCATCTTACTCTCAAACAACACAAAGTGCACCTGTAGGAGGGTAGGGACATAAGAGCACACATGTGTGCTGTGGTGGTGGAATGCGCACCTGTGGTGGAGGGGGAGGAGCAAGGGAACAGGGGAAAAGGGGGTGGAAATTACGTCATTTTCAGGCGCCTCAAATATAAATCCAGTTCATTGCAACAAAAGGATGACATGTTATGGGCATAACGAGTTGAAACGACCGGAAAGAGAGGGGGGAAAATGAGGGAGATGAAAGGGAGGAGTAGGTAGTAAGGGAGAGAAGGGAGAAGGAAATCATACCTCTTGCACGGACCCCCATTGTTCGTTGCACAAGACCTCGATTGCTGCTTGAGCACCTTTCTGAGGGGGGTAGCTGAGAGAGCACATCAACAAAGGGAGTATACAAAAGGAAAAGGGATTGCATGTATGAGGAGGGAGGGAAAGGAGGAACGGAGGGAGGGAAAAGAGAGCGCATATACAGCTTCGGCTAAAAAAGCCCCATGGTGGCTATCCTGCAAGAACCTGTTTTTCGAGAATTCTCGAAAAACAGGTTCGGTTAAAATACCCCCCTGGTGGCTATCCTGCAACAAGTGAATGCATACGCAAGAAAGAGCAGATCAAGAGCCTGGTTCGGGCTGGGAATGAGAGTTCACAAATACGTTACTAGGAGTATGGGAGGTTCAAGAGGGCATTCAAGGAGGAATATCATCGTACCCGAAAATGCCGCATGATATAGCACATATGGCAACATGCTTGATCGCGCATTTGTTGGCTTCCCTTAGTATGCTCCTGTGCGGAGGAGAGGAAATCGAACAGAGAGAAAGCATGCAGTTAAGGTTGGAGTGGGTGAGGGTAGGTTCACATGGGTATGGCAATGTGTTTGATCAAGCACTTGTTGGCCTCCCTCAGTATGCTCCTGTGCTGGGGAGAGGAAATCGAGCAGAGAGAAAGCATGAGTGGGTGAGGGTGGGTTCACACGAGTATGCTCCTGTGCGGAGGAAGCCGAGGAGAGCTCAAACGTGCGTTACGTGTGATTCAAGACAAATGCGAGTCATGAGGACGTGAGCATGTCAGGGAGTGTGAGGCAGTGGGGACAGGACAGAGTAGCTAATAAAGGGAGAAGAGAGGAGGGAGAACGGACTTGTAAAGCGCTCGCTATCAAAAGCAACGCACCCATAAGCGCTCTATAGTAATAGGGGCGCCGATATGCGTTCTGAATGTTCCGCTCAGGTCCACCACTTCGAAAAATCCTCAAGAATATCGCACCCGTAGGCGTTCATGAGCAGACGAGCTGAATCTTTTTTCCTTTTTAAATAATTCTAAAAAAAACAGGTTCCGCTCAGGACCACCGCTTCTAAAAATCCTCAAGAGCAACACACCCATAGGCATTCATGAGCAGAGGAGCTGCTATGAGTTCGGTCTGGTACCTTGGCCCCACCGCATGTTTCACAAGTTCTGAGGCGCCTAGGAGACAGAATCCTCAGAAAACAAATCCTAAAAAAAAGAACCCTCAAGAGCAACATACCTGTACGCACTCTTGAGCAGCGGAGCTGACACACGTTCCGAATGGTACCTTGGCCCCACTGCATGGATCACATAGCGCACTGGCAGATCGGCAGCACTGCAGAAGGGAGAAATAGGGAAAAGAAAAGAAACACACGGTAAGGCGGAAAGTCACAGTGAGGGGGAAAGACACGGCAAGGGGGAAAGACACGGCAAGGGGGAAAGACACGGCAAGGGGGAAAGACACGGCAAGGGGGAAAGACACGGCAAGGGGGAAAGACACGGCAAGGGGGAAAGACACGGCAAGGCGGAAAGATTAGTATCTAATAGGGTAATATAATCAAGAAGCAGTTTGACAGATTGTAGTTGTGAACCGATGGTAAGCGGAAACAGGATGCTCATAGCACATTAGAGTTCACGTCAGCAATCCTCAGAGCGGGAGAGGTAGATCACACCTCATGCTCACCTGCCCTTGTGCCCACCCACCGCATGCCCACCTGCCCCACTTCCCAGAAGCCATGGAAGCACAGGCCAGCGAGAGCAGGTACTCTAATGGAAGTATAGTGGACTCTCCCTGTCAACACCGCCCCGCCTGTTTCACAGCGATCAACATTCCTCCGCATTGGCAGGTCGTACCAGAGCCACTCACTCACTCACCCTAACGCTTCCCACCACCCCCTCACTTATTCGTTATAGTCACTCACCCTGTGGTGACAGAATCCCCCGTCTTGCAGCGAATGCCATTCCTCACAGGCAGATCATAGCAGAGCTTCACGAGGTTTGAGCCTGCTGCCCTGTGGATGGCTGGAGGGCAGAGAGATAGTGGGGGATCAACGGGAGAAAGGGAGAAAAAGGAAGTCAACGAACCAACCCACCAACCCAATTACAGGAGACACCACCATGCAGTCCGCACGCTAATAATTCTAAAACAAAACCCAAACCACCATGCAATGTCCTCTGCCCTATCCCCCCCTTTCCCTCTTCACTCACCTCCATCCACCCCGCCCCCACCAAGCACTGACTCGTTTGCAGCATTGACCTGGAGGGGGGAACAAAGAGAGGGAATCAAACGAGCTTGCGTTGGGAAGTTACCTGTCCTCTCAAGCTTTTGGGTGAACCCAACAGGCAATCTTTACACCAGGGAAATACGTACTTGAGCACTGGAAAAGAAGAGGTTTTGTTGATGTACCACAAGGCCCTTACCCATTTTCTTCATCTCACCTGGTTACAGACACTGCCCTTACAGTCACTCACAATGGCATCACTTGTACCGTCGACAAACCACTTGGTGATATCCCCTTGATGCACCACCAGCACTCCACACCGACCGGCACGATCAGAGGGCGGGTGAGTGCTGGCAGAATGCGTGTTACTGGCAGGGCGAGAAAGGGTAGAAGGAGCCTTGCTGCTGCTTGCAGTGTCACGGGCGGGAGGAGGAGGAAAGACTGCAAACGCAGCCGTGTCAGAGAAGAGATTCGATTGTGACTGGTGGACGGTGTATGGGGAGAGGGGCAGATGGGGAAGAGGAGCTGGGGCTGTACTGACAGTAGCTGCTGCGGCAGTAGAGGCAGCAGCAGGAGGGACGGATAGAGCAGGAGGAGGAGCAGAGGGAGGAGGAGGAGGAGTAGTTGTGGGAGCAGCAGCAGCAGGTGAGGGAATAGTAGGACCGGGAGGGGAGAGGTCGAATTGGATTAGGTCAGCACTGGAGGAGGCATAGGCGAGAGAGAGTGGTTGTGGCGATGTGAGGGGTGGTGACGAAATGACAATGCGATCATGCTCTCTCTCTGATAGGTTCTCATTCCTCCCTCGCTGCTGCTGCTGCTGCTGCTGCTGCTGCTGCTGATGATAATGGAGATGATCCTGCTGGTGGTACTGCGGGTAATGCTGGTACGGCTGATACCCCGGCCACTGTCCGTAAACATCAGTCCACTGATGCTGCCACATGTACTGCTGCTGCTGCTGCTGCTGCTGCTGCTGTGGCTGTTGCTGCTGCTCCGGCTGTTGCTGCTGCCACAGCTGTTGCTGCTGCTGTTGCTGCTGCTGTTGCTGCTGTGGCTGCCACCAATGCTGCTGCCGCCACAGCTGCCGCTGCTGCTCTTGCGTGAGGGGCTGCTGCTGCTGGTTTTGCTTCTCTCGCTCCCAGCTAGCAGTATCATCTTCCACTCCCACTCTCCTGCCCTCTTCCTTCTCCGAACCCCTCCTCTTCCGCCTCTTCCCTCCTCCCTCTCCCCCGCGCACCCCTGCCACATCCTCCATCTCCACATCATCCCTGCTGCTCCCTCCCTCACCTCCGCCACCCCACGGCAAGAAACGCCGAGCCTTACCCTTGACTCCTGCAACCACATCCCCGAAGGCTTTTAGCAGAGCCTCCCAACAAGCCCGGAACATGCCCCTTGCCCTTTCCTCACGCTCCAGTCGCAATTCCACGTCAGAATCCCCTTCTGCTTCCACACCCATTGCTCCATCCGCAGTCCGACGCTCACGAGAAAGAAGCAATGGCTGGGACTCCTGATCCTGGGCCATCTCCCCAGAAATTTCCTCAGGTGCTTCTTCAGATGATTCTTCAGGTGGTTCCTCAGGTGGCTCTCCAGGTACCACGTCAGGTGCATCACGCGGATGCAGAAGACGAGTCGAGCGAGGATGGAAAGAGGTACGGTAGTGGTGGTTGTGGTAGTACGGAGAGCTAGCAGCAAGAGCATGCACCCCGATGTCTCTACCCATCCCGGCTGTCCCTCTGCTCATTCCTGCTGCACCCTTAGTCATCCCTTTCCCTCTAATGGGCCCGTTCAAGCGTGCCTTTATTGGTTTATTAGGTGGTCGCCATATTGCTGGTCCTGCTGATGCTGGTGATGTTGCTCCAGGTGCTCTTGCTCCTGCTGATGCTGCTGGCGCTGCTGCTGTTGCAGCTGCAGCAGCTGCTAGCGGCCCAACGTCCCAGCGCCGTCCCTGCCTCTTCCTTTCCGATTCTTTCCCCTCTCCCGCCTTCGTCTCTCCCTCCTCACCCCACTCTCCTTCCCCACCCGTAACAGCAAGTTCCCTCACTTCCTTACCCTCTCTCTTTCGTTTCATCTCCTCCTCCACACCTCCCCCTCTGACAAAACCCTCCCGTGAAGCAGAAGAATCCACAGGGGGGTCTTTGGTCTGCAATCCTTTTTCGGTGTAAGGTCGCCCTTCAGGCAAATCGTCTTCTTCACTCTCCAAGCGTTCTTCAACCTCCCTTTTGCCTGTAATCCCTGTGCGGCCTCCTTTTGCCTTTATTCCTTCTTCAGTGTGGGCCGGCACTTCAGTCAAATCGTCTTTTTGAATCTCCCTGCGTTCTTCACCCTCCCCGGTATCCTCTCCTTCGTCCCCTTTGCCAAAAATTCCACCAATAGTCACAGCAACTCTCGCTGCTGCTCTCTCTGCCTTCTTTGCAGCAATTTGCGACTCAACCACCACCTTTCCAGCAGCTTCCGCAGCAGAAACAGCCTCTGCAGCCTCTTCGTCCACTAGGTCCCCTCTGTCCGCTTCGCCTACAAACGCAGCAACAGTTGCTGCGGCTCTTGCTGCTGCTCTCTCTGCCTTCCCTGCAGCAAGAGTTGACGCAACCACCGCCTTCCCAGCAGCTTCTGCAGCAGAAACAGCCTCTGCAGCGGCGGCTGTAGCCTCCGCCTGGGCGGCTGCTGTCCTGCCAGCAGCAGATGCTCCCAACCGCTGCAATCCAGATGCGGTTTCTGCCGCTTCTGCTGCAGCTGCTTCTGCCACTTGCTTTAGTGGGAGGAGAATGGCGTATGCAGCTTGGTCCCCTCTGTCCGCTTCGACTACAAACGCAGCAAGAGTTGCAGCGGCTCTTGCTGCTGCTCTCTCCACCTTCCCTGCAGCAAGAGTTGACGCAACCACCGCCTTCCCAGCAGCTTCTGCAGCTGCAATAGCCTCTGCAGCGGCGGCTGTAGCCTCCGCCTGGGCGGCTGCCGCCCTGCCAGCAGCAGAGACCGCCAAGCGCTGCAGTCCGGATGCAGTTTCGGCTGCTTCTGCTGCCTCTGCAGCGGCTGCTGCAGCCTCTTGCTTCAATTGAAGGAGCAAGTCGTATACTGCTTGCCAGGGGTCAGGAGCAGGAGGAGCAGCTGCAGCAGGAGGTGGAAGGACGAGTGGCGGATATGGGTGATGGTAGGGCAACGGAGAAGCAAGAAGAGGAGGCTGCGAATGAGGAGCTAGAGAAGGACATGGGGGAGGAGGATAGAGATGAGGGTAGGGAGGGAAGGTCGGCCCGAACAGGAGGGGAGGGTAGGGAGGAGGAGCGAAGAGGAGGATAAGCGGATGGACCAGGAAAAGAGGGGGAGGGAAGAACGGAGGTCAAGACCTCAAAGCTGCTGCTGCTGCTGCTGCTGCTGGGTGACGGCAGGCAGTCAAAAAACTCAACGGGACTGTCTTCAGATTGAGACTCGCCCAGAGAAGCAGCAGCAGCCTTGTTGTGAGCAACGGGAGAAGCAGCCTTTTCGGGAGAAGCAGCCTTGCTGTGAAGAAGCTTTCCTGCTGAATCAGACGGTTCAGGCTGATCAGAATCCATGCCGAGAACCACTCAGGGAAATACCTGTAGCAGGAGCACAATATTTCTTCACCCTCCACGCTATAATATCACTGGTTCGGTATGGTTGAGGTTAACTCGCGGAACCAAGGCGAGGTGCAGCGCCGTGTCGCATCGGCTTGCCGAGGTGAATGTAGAGTCAGACTAAACAAGGCAACAAGGCGTGGTCGAGGCGTGACACAGAGCCGTGACTCACTCAATTCGCCGTGATTCCAAGGGAGTTGCGTGCATGCGCTCCCTTCCACGCCGAGTGGGAGGGACCACTCGGTTCAGTAGCCGCTTCCGAGGGAGAGAAACCAGCCCGAGGCCCCTCGAGGTTTTCCCGAGGGTGTCGCCTTGGCAATTGCCAGCCGGTGATGCAGGATGGAAACATTTCGAGATCCGAGGGAGAGTGAATCGTTTGTGAACCGTTTCCGAGGATATCGGGTCCCATCCCATGCATATGCACTGCATCCGCGGTTCGGTTCGGGCCTCTAGTATGTATCCCGGCGGAACCATGCATGATCTACATCGTTTCGCGGTTTGGGCTTCTGCTATGGCGGGTCCGCGGAGAGTCTCCTTTTGAGGCACCTCAAAAGGGGCTTCTGTTATGGCGGTACCGCGGAGAGTCTCGCCATAGCAGAGCGTGGGAACGGGCGTGGGGCGTGTGCGGGATGAACGAGAAACGCCATCATAGGCTGGCCGCGGTAACTTCACAAAGCTTGGAGGTAAGGCGCGCCAGTTGTTGCATAGTAAGACGCGTGGAAGGTGCATGGGAGAGCGCTTATCCCCTAGGCGGATGCGCTAGAAGGGCCATGGCGGCTGGTCGTATGGCGGCGCGGAGGGGGAAGCTAGCTGGCGGATCGAATAGGACGAGGCACGAGGCATGAGGCATTACGTTAGCGGATGCTGGTATACGAGGCACGAGGCACGACGCATGGTGTTAAGCTGAGGGTATGCAACGAGGTATGACGAATGTCGTTAAGATGGGCATTGCAATGCGTGCGACACGAGGCACGACGCATGTACATGGCCTTGCGACGACGAGAGTAAGGCGTGGATACCCGTGGATCAACACGGGTAGAAGAAAAAACAAATTGCTGAATATAGTGGTCCCGCAAACCCTCGAAGCTGATTAGTGGTTTCCAACATAGTTTAGAACTCAGCATGAGATTCTCACTGCTTCTGGAGCTGGTGGTGCCTTCAAGCGTGCCTAGACGCGCCGATAAGAGACTTCGGGTTTCGATGTGCTAGCTACTAGTTGGAAGCACGAAGAGAAATCTGAGGTAGCCGAGGAAACACTTCAAATCGAAAATCGGAGTTCCCGAGGGAAGCGAGATTTGTAGTGTGAGAATGGGTAGATGTGGGGATGAGGATGGGTGAGAAAGAACGGGCATAAATTTCGCGCTTCCCCTGTCGTAGTCCCGCAGCGCCTCGGACCTCGGCTCCTTGTCTTCTTCCTCGGCTCCCGTCGAAAGAAGCTAGAAGCCCGAGCACTCAGCGCAGCAGCGTGAGAAGCGGTCTCGTGAATTGCATTGCCAACGGTAACTCTGCGCCGACACCATGTGCATCACGTTTCGTCCCTGCTCGGAGCCCGACCTTCCCGGCATCTATTGGCGCGACGACGACCAATGGCGGCCGTAGACCGCGCCACGTCCCGCGCGATTCTCAAGGCGGCCTCGCTGGGCCTTAGGAACGTGAGCCTGGGAATATTCACGTCGAATGTTTACCCCAGCGGCGCAACTTACACTATGGATCTGCAGCGACTTCAGCAAAGGAACTCGGGAAGCGGACAGGAGCGGCCGGTTCTGATCATCCCAAGGCTGACGCTCACGGAGCTGAGCGCGGCTGTGGTAACGCCTTCAGTGGTAAGATATTTTCAGACGCTGAAAGCACTCGTCACTCATCCACCTTTCCGTCTGTTCAATATTTTTTCCTAAACGGGAGAACGCTATAAATCTGGAAACTGATATCAGAACTCGAATCGTTTCATGACAGGTACGGAACCAGATCATAAATGCGTTCACTACAGAGGCGTACGTGGAGCATGTTGTGAAGCAGCGCGCGTCAAAGTGCAACTCGGTCGTGCTGCATGTTCGCCGCAACCCCTACCTCACTCCGGGTTCACCGTTATTCACGCGATTCCTTTCCACTGCACAGAATCTGCCAGCTGATGCTGCTCTCGGTATGTCCAGCTATTTTTTTTCTGAGAGATCTACTGGTGCTCTTGCTCTCTACTGCAATCCTCATGCTTCGTCTTTATTGTGAAAAAATGTTCGACGGGCCCAATTTTAAAAAGGCTTCCCTTCTACTTTCAGAGGTTTTTTTTATTCTGACTCCCTGGCATGTCGCATGACACATTTCAGTCAAGGGTCTGACGTACATGGACACGGCAGAAGCAGGAAATCTGGACCTCGCATTCCACGGCACTCGATCTAGCGCCTTCGACCCCATCATGCGGAACGGAATGTGCCCTACTCAACGTAAAAGCAACCCACGGGGAGACTGGTTCACGCGGCAAGTGGCGTCTGCTGCACAATACTCACAGCAGAGGGAAGGTAGCCGTGGTTATGGAGGGAAGAAGCTAATCGCATTTCTGCTCCTTGTGGAGAAGAAGGCGGTGGTGCAGGAGAATGGCGATGTGATTGTGATGAGTGACGCAAACCACCAGCTTCCTGTCGCGGAAGTGACAGTGCAGTAAGGGCGTGTGACTCTTTCTGATGTGCCTTGAGATATGTTTCGTGTGTACATGTAGATGGATATAGCTCTGTACATAAGACAAAACGAAAGCTTGTACCCTTGGATATAGCCCTGTACATAAGACAAAACGAAAGCTTGTACCCTTTACAATGTGTAAAGTACCCTTAACATTGTGTAAATATGTCTACGTTGGCAGATGCATAGGTTATATTTATATTCTTTTTACGTTTTCGCGTTTTCAACAGAATTAAAGAACTGGTAGAGAATGTAATACATATTTGTAACTCTATGCAAATTAAGAAATTCTCTATGCATATTTGTAATACATATTTGTAATACATAGTGCACAAGAAAGACTTCTAAATGGCACTGATCTGTTCTCAAACAACACTTTTTAAAAGTTTACATGTAAACAAAAAGTACAACCACGTAAAAAGCCAAAAGAAATGCATACCATGTTTTCTATTTACAATATGTACAATTCAGATTGGATTGGCCTTGGCCCCTGTTTTCTCTCCATGTACAGGATTTTCACCTTGGGCTTTGCCACGAAGTCGAGTCGTGCAATCGGTGATGAAATTGACCTTCCCAACCTCAGTCCTTTCGCAGGCACATTCGGCGACCAAGATTACCAGCTCAGAATACCCACCTCAACGAGAAAACAAAGCTGATGTCTATGTTCCCGCCCTCGCTGGGCTGTCAGTTCCGCGCGCTTAGTCCACTGACAGTTCTGCGATGGGAAGCTGGTAGCGCGCGTCACTCAGTACAATCACATTGCCGCTTTCCCTCTTTGTCACCACCACTTCGTCGACCACGAGCAGCAGAAACACGATAATCTTTGTGCCGTACTGCCTAGCAGTGGACACTTGACGTGCGAACCAGTCACCCAGTGGAGTGCTTTCGCGGCGAGTAGGACACATTCCGTTCCGCAGAATCGGGTCGAAGCTGCTAGCGCTAGTGCCGTGAAACGCGATGTCCACCACACCTCCTCCTGCAGAATAGAAGGGAGGAAAGAAAAATACATGGAGGAACGATGAAAGCATGGGAAAGGGTTCAGAGGCAACACGAGAAATGCAGCATAGAGCAGCAAACCGAGAGCAGCATTACTAGCTGGCTCATGGAGCAAAGAGAGTCGCGTCCTTTAGAAATCTCGTTTTGGCAAGAAATAGTTTCAAAATTAAAAGAGGCAAGGCAACAACGAGCATACCGAGAGCAACATCGGCTGGCAGGCGCTTTATAGTATCGAGGAACTGCTTCATCAACTGCGAATCCGATGTCAGGTGAGGGTTTCGACGAACACCCTTCACGACGGTTTCGCACTTCTTCGCCCGCTGACTCACAGCATCCTTCACGTGGGCCTCTGAGGTGAACGAATCGATGATTTTCTCCCACACCTGCCATTAATAATTTTCAATTCAGACAGCATCAGATTCCGAGATTGACGTGGTTGCGTGAGGGAGAAAGGTCCAATTAAGCGAGAATCTTATCAACCGCTCGAAACTCCGCAAGCGTCATCCTTGGAATGGCACAAACCGGCCTAATCTGTCCGGTTTTGTTGTTGATCTGCTTCATGCCCTCCATAGTCTCCATTTCCAGCTTGTAAGTCACGCTGCCGCATAAATTCCCCAGGTCAAGGCAGTCAAGGCCCAGCGAGGCCGCCTTGAGAATCGCGCGGGCCGTCGCGCTGGTGTATGGCTTCCAATCCTCTTCGTCGCGCCAGTAGATCCCGGGAACTTCGGGATCCGCAAGCTCGGGAAAATGGAGGCACATGATGGTGCCGGCTCGAAGTACCGTTCAAAATGCAAGAGCGGTGCTCACGCTGCTCGTGTGCTTCTATCTTGTTTCGAGGAGTTTCGACCGAGATGGGAGAAGTGCGCTGCGCAACTGAGACTGGAGTCGCGAATTTATAACCGTTGGAAAGGTAGTCTCAGGCTGCACGACATATTTGAAACCGGTAATTACTCGAGCCTTTTGCATTGTGGACTTCTTAATCCTCATTATCTGCAGCATTACCCCGTTTAAGATTCATACCAATTAAGTACATTTGTTGGCTAAGGCCACTACTCCAGACTAATTTCCGCGGTGAAGCCAACCGATCAGCGCAAAAAGAAAAAACGAGTCGGAAAACTCTCAATATTTCTTCCTCTGTTTTCCATCATAAATGATCGGGATCCCAAATTCCGATACACCACGCCTCGTACCCTTCGAAGGCCTTCCCTCGTGATCCACTGCTCTGTCCTATGGCCCTCTTCACGCCTTTATAACTCCGCCCTAAGGCCGTATTCACGCTCAGCTGTTTGATG